TAATAAATTAGAAAAACCTAAATTTATCTAGTTTTAGTATAATGTTAAATATGATTGGATTTTGAATAATGGTTTAAGTATTTTTATTATATTTCTTCTAAATAATAAAAAAATACTGTGCGAAATCTAATGATCATCTTATATAAAAGAGTATGTTGATTATTTTTTATTTTTTTAAATTCCGTATCTAGCAATTATTAATTTAACAGTTTTTGCTATTCATTAAAGTAATTTTTCAAGTTGTTCATGAAGATTTTGAACAAAAAAACTTCATTTTTATTACTATTTCAGTATCAGGCCTTTTTAATATCTTATTTTAAGCATTGTAAATATGAAACATTGACGTATGCCTTACTAAGTAGATAAAGAATAATCACCATTACACTAAAATTTCTCAATTCGTATTCACTTATATTACTTTTTTCTCGAAAATTGTTTACAATAAAACCGAAAGAATCTTTTTGTGCTACATTATTAGATGCTAGCGAGATTTAAACAATTTCTTGTAATCAATCGGGAATACGTAAGTAATTGGTCAAATTCCTTGAATTTTTCCAAGCAATATTAAGGACTCAATGTTAATATTAAATATTTATTTAACTGACATGTATATTTTTTAAGATTGTGATAAATCGGTTCATTTGGAGTAAAGAATTTCTTTTTTCATTGATATATATATTTTTTTAATTGTATATTAATGTTTCGATTTTTAATTGCAGTAATTCTAGAGAAAATTTGTAGGAGAAAAAGAAAAAAGATTTGGAATTGTAGATGCAGATTTTTCTCTTTTAATTGGCTGGAATATTGTGGAAAATTTTTCCACTATTTACTGGAGATAGAAATTTATTATCTTCTCCTAATAATCCATCCGTAATTAACAATTTTTGAATGACAAAACAAAAACATATTCGAGACGAGAACTTCAATAGTGATCACGTATTATCAACATAAGTTAGTCAAATTATTATAGACTTTGTTACGTGAAAAAAATCAGAAAAAAACTAAAAGAAATCGAAATTGATTCTTTTCTCTGTGATAACTACCATGCGCTAGATTTATCAGTTCAGTACGTTTCTTATAAGTAGAGCCCTGCAGGGTGCCCATAACCTGTCCTGCCCTGCCCTGCCCTGCCCTGGCAGGGCAGGGCAGGGTCAGGTTACGAAATTTTTACAGGGCAGCACTGTCATAACCTGTTAACCTGCTATTAATTTATCGAATCAAACATTATAGACACCTTTTGAAAAATTTTATACGAAGAAGAATATCGAAGCATAAAACAACATAAAGTAGGAGAATTGATATACGAAGTCGATGAAAAGTTATGAATTTTTTTGTAATATCAAATATAGCAGGGCAGGGCAGGGCAGGTTACAGGTTATGAAAAAAAGTCTCAGGGCAGGGTACGCGAAAAAATTCACAGGGCAGGACAGGATTATGTTGCAGAATTTTTACAGGGCAAGTTACAGGTTAGGAAAATACTGCACGCTGCAGCCCTCTATTTGAATCATCCGCACATTTTAATAGTCCGTTCAATGACGGTTTGAGTAATGTCGACAGCTTTCTTGTATCAATGATTAGGTTCTATTTAGTGTTTTAACTATGTTGAATACTGAATGGCAATCATTGATATAAAACAATAAACTGAATCAATTTGAGGATATCTAATATCCAATAAACAGGAATTAGAAGAGATGTGCTTAAAGTGAGAAATGATTTGAAATGTAACGATATACTATAGAAACGTCACTTTTCTCGTAATAAAACTGCCCTAGTTGAGAATGAAGAAACTCGAATTATTTATAGTCAGTCTCAGCTGGTTTTTGTTCAATAGAGTATGATGGAGATGTCTTGAATCTTCTTGATATTACCTATCTTAATAATTAAAGAACCCATTTGATTAATATTGTCTTGTTGATCCTAAAATTTTCTTTCTCATATTTTGGGTTAGTTGTGGATCATTGTTACTTGTCAATGTCAAATTCATATGGCATAATCGATTTTCAATCTGTTTTATTTTCATTATTTGAAACTTATTGCAAACAGAACATCTCTTTCTCCGTCTAAATGGTAATTGATGTTATCCAATGAAGTGAATAAAGCTAATGAGATATGTAGATTTATGTCCATTTACAAGGTGTATCAGTAAGATCTGAATGTTTTTCACTATTATCTGCGACGAGAAAACTCACATGTCAATCTACACTCTTAAGTAACCAGTTATTGAATGATAAGTGAACATTTTTAGGTTTATTTCATTATTTCTTATCTTTGATATAGTATGAAAAGACAGTTACTCTCCGATTAAGAATGTATATCTGGAAATTATTCTGATAGGATAAAAAATACATTTTTACAATGATTTCAAGGTCTCGCATTCTGAATGTTTTATTTAACATTGAATATGTAATACATTGTCGATTTCATAATCAAATAAGTAGTGGACGATTAAATTTTTGTTGAAACTATCAAAGAAAATCAAGTCACAATCCTATTAGCATATTGTTGTCGACTATAATTGACTAGTTCTTTCTTATTATCTTTATCATATAATAGCGCGAGTGGAATTTCGTTTTTGCATAGTTGTGAGCATATAACTGATTCATCAAGCTCATTTAAGTCGATCAACATCAGTAGTGTGATAATGTTGATTTATGTAAGAACAAATTTTGACTGTCAAATATCATTTTTAAGAACGTCAGAAAAATATGTAGTAATTTCAATGAAAATATCGTTTCATTTTTTTTATCTTTATTAGCTCATACTTCATATTTTAGTTTATTAAAACAAAGTTTAGAGATCGATTGTCTCTAATCAATGTTTTCGATTTAAAGAAGTTATTGGACAAAAGAACCCAAAATTATCATGAACACTTTATCGTTCCTAATATCTCGTATAGATTCATCAGAACTAAAAAATTGTTCGAATTAAACTGATAATGTTTTATAACTGAGTGAACTTGGGGTATTTTCCTTCAAGTCATCGATGTCGAAAGCCAATCAAATTACAATGAAGTATTTGACTATTCGAGAAGGTTCAAATCATTGCCTGATGTTTATAACAATGGGATTAGGATGCGTACTTTCAGAAGATTTGAATAATTTACTAAATGCTTGTATGACATTGTTTTCTTGTATTATTTCCTTTTACTATGTGAAAAAACCAGTTTGATGTTTACGAAAGACAATAATAAACACACTATTGTTTGTTTTCTACTGTTTGAGCTCTCAATTTTTAATCGTCCTGGGTTTATAATTTGCCAGTTGGTGTTTTCAAGTTACTGAGCCAATAAATAGTAACACTTATGATATAGAAGTTAGCTCTCTATATTAAGTATGAGTTTTTGATAAATATTCATTAAAAAGTAGATAAAAAAAAAAACTTTTTTGTTTAATATAAAACCCATAAAATGAAAGTTTTTCAATAAAATACTACACAATTAGGTGAAATTTTCTATTTATACAATTTTTTTCTTCGTTTCAACGGAATTTAATCAATTATAATTCTTTGAAAACAATTCAATAAAAGGAAATAATCAATGTATACTAATTTAAACTATGGAACCAATGGTATTACGATCTATTGATTATAGTTGCATGTGTCGAAGAATTGTTTCAATATAATTGATTCAAAAAACTTAAATGTTCTATATATATATGATAACTATGTACTAAATAAAACTTTCCTTCGATACTGCATGAGAAATAATGCATATGACGTCAGTTAGAAGGCAAGGAGTGTTATCAAACGTACGAAAAGTATGAAATAGAACGGAAGTACATCACAAAAAAAGATTTATATTTTAGACGAATCAATATTAAATGCTATATTTGTGGCGCTGACTCAGACTTTGTAATGGCCCGAATACGAAAATGATTGTAATCGATAGAGAAAAAAAAATTCTATCGAACTGCACTTTTGGTTTTTTTTCAAAAAAATGTCTATACCTCAAAATAATCGATACAATAGGACCAATTAAAACACAGATCGTCTACAGTGAGTTTTCTTGCAAATCCGACTGAGACCGAGAATAATATTGACACTAATCGATAGAGGAAATTATTTTCTATCAGACTACACTTCAAAGTTTTGTTTGAAAAACTGTCTATATGTCAAAATAATCGACACCAACTGACCAATCAAAACACATTTACGCATTTCATTTGATAATGAATCAATGATTCATTGCTATTTGCCTGTAGACTATCATCGTATCATATAAATGTAACGGGCACACGAAGCAACGCACATACGCTGTTTATAGAGGGAAAAAATGATTTTACTCGTTGCATTCGCTTTACTCGCAATATTATTCGTTCTATTTAGACGAAGTTACAATCAATATGCATCCGGTTTAAGAGAAAAACCAAACTATTTCTTATGGCTTTTAACATGTTTTGTCAATTTCAAAGGTTGGTCACAAGAGTCATATTGTCTTCGTACAGATAATTTCAAATCAACAGATGATTCAGGATATTTAAATGACAGAGATATTCCATTTCGTAAGCAATCACGACCAAATATGTTACGTGGTCTACCTCATCGTCAATTAACTCAACAAGCACCTGATGATATTATGTATGAAATGCATAAACATATGGAATCAATATCAATACCAAGATATAGTGGACAAACAATTAATAATCAATTATTATTGCGTGGTAAATCAACTGTTGAATATACTGGTGCTGATGCTTTATTTATACCAAATCCAGATAAAAATACAATTGGAAATGGTGAATTTGCACATTTACATTCAAATGATGGCTCATTTCATATGTTATTACATCCATCCGATGCTAAATTATTAATTAATAAACAATGGGCTGAAAAATTTCCGTTGGTTGGGAGGACTTTATTCAATAAAATAATTGTTCCAGATACGTATTTATTAATTTATGCTCCACAAAATGAAAATGAATTAAACATTTGGAAGACAATTTTGAATGCTTGTATCAATTATAATCAAGATAAAAAAAATAAACACTGAACAATGGTATTTTTTATTGTAATAATTGATTTACTTTCATAAAACTAATCAAAGCTTGAACATATTTTTCAACATAGATCTTTGGATCGAATTCATTTCGTACAACATATGAAAGTTCAGTTTGAATAACATTAATTTTTGATGAATAATGATTTGTTATAAAACCACCTTTATAAAATATATTTTTGTTCGGTTTTGGATTATTTAACGAAGGATATGATATACCGAGACCATTTGATTCAAAAAAGGTTCCAAGCGATTTCGAACCTCGTATACATTCATTTCGATTATTTGGACATGATAATTCAATAAGAGATTCAATTGAAGTAGTTGATAAATCATCATTATTTAGTTGAACAGCAGATAGACGAGTTCCTATCATTGTATAGCTACAAGAAAAAAAAGAAATTTTTTTTTGTCTTTCGAAAAACCAAAATAATTTTCTAAATCTTACTTCCCTTGTCCATGCTGATGAATATCAAGTAATAAGCCTTTACCATGAAATTTTTCTTGAATTATTTCTACTGCTTTTTCTAAATAATTATGATATGCATTATATGATTCAATTGTTTGTGGATGATTAAATGTAGCTTCATTTATTGCACGATTAAAATCAATTTTTTTTCGATTCCATTTAGCAATAATAACAAATGGTAGAAGATTATATTTTCTAATAAATTCATCAGTTATTTGTTCAGTAAATTGATCAAAACTAGCAAAATCTTGTTGGACTGTAACTGAACAACGATTTCCATTTAAACATGTATCATTAAAATAGAATGTACATAAATTTGAACTATTTTGTTGACAACCACCAATTGTACGATCGGGTATATCATTTGGTATATCACTACCAGCATGAGGTGACGAAAGAATAATATTTGTATTTGATAAATTGTGATAAATAGCTTTAAATGAATCTCGATATCCAGAAAAATAAAATTTAGAAGATATTTCATCTGATAAAATCAAACCAATGAAGAAAAACAGAAGGATAAACATCGTTTGTCTATTCAGCTACAAATAATTATGACCTTTTTGTCGTTCTTTATTATAAATACATTAATCTCGTGTTCTTTGCATCCTCGATGATATATACATATATATATGTATACATAGAGCAATAAAAAAGTTATTTTCTTCTGGCCTTGTTAAACGTTGTATATTCAGATCAAGTATCCTGCTATGACACATCATCATCATATCTAGGATTAGGTGTAAATGTCAAATCTTTTCATTTTGAAAAACGTCTTGTTTTTAACTATTCTTTCAGATCAGTCATACATTTTCTTTAAATGACTCTCAAGAACAATCTTGAACTGCACTTTTATGTACACAGAATATTGATTCAACATACATGAAAAGCCATGCACTTTTAGCACAAACATAGTATGATAGAGAAAATTCATGCTGCCTGTTTCGGTTGTCCTTCAACTGTTGTTGACGCAAAAGATGTTGTCTTGAGTAATAATTGTAGGTGGTTCTCATTGAACATAGAAATTCATAGGAGACACTCTGAGCCTAATGTCACTAGAAATTATTTTAATTAGCCTTATGTGTTAAAAATTTCTACAAAGTTCTATGCTCGATAAATGCACGATTGATTCATCGACGATTGGCATTAGTTCCGTGTTTAATCATCTCGTCAATTGTTGCAGAGGTCCAAATAGACATATTTCAATCTTGTATTGGTATAAATCACTAGTGATTGATCATGTTTATATCATTAGAATAGAGAATAGAAAGCGTAGTCAAAAGTTCGACTGTTACAACAGAAGTCTCAGACAGTCAAAGCTAATCGAAACAAAAGCTCAAACACACACATCACGTCAGTTTTTAATATAAACTATAGCCTAATCAAGCCTATATCAGTGGTATCTAGTTAGGAAAATTGGCCTGCCAACAGCTGCGTAATGGAAGTTTTCAAAAAAATGTTGACTTTCAATATCTCGATTTTCACTAGGCAAACACGAGATAATATGTTTTGTTTGGGTGAAAACGAAAAATACTAAGATAATATCAATTGATTCATCTTGTTGTTGCCTTCTTTTGTTCTGTTTTATCTAAATAAAACAAATAGTTTTGATATTTCCATTGTTCACTTTAGAAAAAAAATTTTATCGCGTCAAGAAAATATGTCTCATAATACCATGTGCCAAAAGGAAGTACATCTCATGCTACCCGTTTATCAATGTCTTTTGAGTAGTCCAATCAGTGCTTTAAATCAAAAGAACATAAGACTCGAAACTTTTTTTTACAACACGCATATTTCTGTTCTTCATACCATTTGTTTCATTTAGGATTCCACAAGATGTAGCAATAGAAAAAATATTGCTTTTTCTGTCATATGTGTAAAATAATGAAAAACTATGCTTATCAGACTAATATTTATTTAACAAGACAATTTTTTCTTCTCACGTTTAACGATGCATAAAATTTTAATTTTCAAAACAGACTAGAAGTTCGCAACAATAGGATGGATTCTTGATAAGATTATTACGTCCTCAGACGACAATTTAGCAACCATCTCTTTTCTTTGGCTTGATAGTTCAGTAACAAGACATAAGTTAAACGGCCAGCTCAAGAAAAACTTTGAACAACAATCCATCAACTAAAAACATTTGAAAATCCTGATTGATGTGTACAATACATATGAAATGTGCCAAAGGAGAGTCGAATTGTTTTAATTGCTGGTGAAGAGTTGGATGGAAACAATGCCTATTATTCATTCTATTGAACAACTTGTATACATATATATTTATTGTTATGACCAAAATTCAAATAAACGATGGTCTAGTGAATATCGAAAGATAATGAAATAATATTATTTAAAAATCCTACGTGTGATTACATAATTTCTTATGTAAAAGCTATTATTACAAATGTAAAAGAACTTATTGCTCGAATTCAGTTCGATCATGAAAAACAACAGCAAAATAGAATTTACGAGTCATTACAAATTAGTATTTTTGATCCAAAGATTGTTCATGAAAAACTTACAGCTGATCTTCAAGGTCATCTTGTTGACTCCCAACTATTAATTAATTGTTTCGTTCAAATGAAACCGGAGGTGAACAATTAGACAGGATTGATAGCACAGAGTAAAGATATATAGAAAAAGAATCGAACTGAAATCAAAATTATTGAAGAGTTCGAACGAAATTATTCACCAGATTGGGCTATTTGGTGGTATATCAGAGACTCATTTCTGTCTCGACTATTAAATAAAGCTCTTCGAACACAAAATATTGATATTTTATTTTTATTTCAATTTTTTATTGTTGATATTCGACAACAACTCGAAAAACATCGATGTAAAGTACAAACAATCGCCTATCGAAGTCAACTAATGTCAAATAATAAACTTAGAAAGTTGAAAAACTCTGTTGGACAATTCATCTCGATTAATTCATTCTTTTCAGCTACTATGTTTGAAGACAAAGCTGTTTCATATCTTCCTAATTCTGATGGACTCGAAAGAGTTTTATTCAAAATTGAAGCTGATCGTAGAGTCAGCAGTGATAAACCATTTGCTAATATCAAATCACTAAGTTATGATCAAGAAGACGAAATACTTTTTATGTTAGGATCGATTTTTCAAATCGTTCAAGTTTGGTCTGATAATCAAGAAATATGGCGAGTTCGATTAAAATTATACTCTGAGAAGAGTGAACAAATTGATTTAAGTCGTGACAAAAATCAACTTCTTTCATTTGGTCATGTACTTATGACAATGGGTAAAGTTGAAGAAGCAAAGATTTATTATCAACGTTTACTTGATGGATTATCATATGATCATCCAGATAGAGCTCGTTGTTATGAAGCACTTGGAAGTATAGCTGATGAACAAGGTGATTATGAGACTAGTCTTCAATTATACAATGAATCTCTTAATATCAATATAAGCAAAGGAGGTAGACAAGATTCAGATACTGCATCGAATTATAATAGTATTGGAGAAATTTATCGGAAGAAAGGTGATTATGTTAAAGCACGCGAATATTATGATAAAGCATTAGAAGCGTTAGGAAAAGATCCAGCAGGCAAAGCGCTTGCAAAACAAGCTGTATGCTATAACAATATTGGTATTGTCTATCAAGAAAAAAAGCAATACAACGAAGCACTTGACTATTATAACAAAGCATTTGAAATACGCAAAAAGTATTTTCCATCTGATGAAACATCTTTAGGCATGTCGTAGAATAATATTGGCAATGCTTATTATTTACTTAGACTTTATGAAGATGCGATATTTTTTTACCAAGAAGCTCTCAAAATCTATAAAAAAACTCTTCCTCCACAACATCCAAAATTTGCATCGACTTATAATAATATAGGTGCCATCTATGATGACGGGGGAAAATTCAATGATGCCTTAGTATTTTATAGAGATGCATACCAGATCTATTGCAGTATATATCCTGCTACGCATCCGAATGTAATCAAAATAAAAGAAAACATTCAACGTATTGAGTCAAAAATGAAAAAATAATTTTATTTTCTTTGGTATTCGCACATTTCGACTTATTTTTCTTTCATTTATAAATGAATTGATTCAAATACTCAAGAACTTTTCTCTTTTTATTACAGGATAATTTTAGTTTTCCTATACCAGTTTTCATCAAGAATTGAAATGATTTTCTGCATTGTTTTTCTTTTGGTCTAGACAAAACCTCACAGAACAATCATTCATGTGACATCAGAAATAGTTTTAGACATTGAATAAGAATTACATCATGTTTCTCTTCAATGCTCAGCGACTATTCAGTAAATGAATTTTGTCTCTTTTTGTTTATATTCGTTGATCAGAACGAGAGAACAATTTGAGAACAGCACACTTAAGATTTGCACATCAATTCAATGCAAAACATAGACGACAGAACTCTCAGGTTTGGAAAAGCTTAGGTGTTTGAAAAAATTCTATTGATCTCCTTCAAAAGTTATATGTGGTAAACGAAAACTCTTTGAACAAGAGTTATCTCGCATTTTCTGAAGGTTGTGTTCAGTGAAATGTCAGATGGTACATCTACAAGACTGTATTTTTTTACACGTCTTAGTCCATAGACGATAGGGTTCTTAGCTTTGAAGAAGCTGAATTCAGTCTATGTTTTTTATAAATCAATCTCTGACGGTATAATAAAGACTGAATAAATATCTTTCTTTTGTCATGAAAAAAGTGACAATTTTAAAAAGGTCTGTGACAATCATAACTTCTAAGGCAAACCTATGCTTATGTTGAAGAACAACACAAAAGGTGAGTATTCAGATAAAATTTTCGAGCAAACTCTTGAAAGACATTAGAAAGTTTAGCAATATCGCAACGATAGACAGATCAAGGAATCTTGATTAAAGTTTTTTCATGCATAAATCGATACTGAACCGTATCTTGCTTGTTTCACATCAGAAAAGAACTTTATCGAGCAGCTCTTAACTCTTTGAAGGTTGAGTTAGTCGTATTATTTGTTGACAAACAACCAAATTCTGATAGATGTTTTAGTTTATTTTGTTCGATGTTCTAGTGCCAAGGTTGTATTTGTCATGAAATTTAAAAACAGTTAACATTATTTTTAATTCAGTAGCGAAACTAGTATTTTGGAAGGGGCGGAGACAAGCCTAAGATAATGTTTGAAAGGTGGAAACTGCTTCTGCTTTCTTGACTCGTTGAAAAAGCTAAAAGATTGTAAAAGTCAAACCGCTATTCCCTTTATCTCAAGCCTCTTCTAAATTTATTCCGCAGCGTCACTTATGTACGACCTCATGGACATTCATGGGCTCTCAAACATTCAACCACCAAAAATCATACAGAATTATATTTTGATCGAGTTGATTCTGTAAATCTAAACACATTCAACTACTCTTTTCTACTGCTAAAACTGAAATATCAACACAACAAGATTATACTCAACGACATCAATTGAATGTACTACATATACTTCAAACAGCCTTTAATAATTTCTCAAAAGCTTATCTCAAACTCTACCACGATCATCTCTTTTTATCGAATGCACCAATGCATTATTGATGGGAAATGGTACTTTGAACAACAACGCTAAAATCAACGACTTTTGTTTAAAATGTTCCATGTACTACTGACATCTTTGATAATGGAAATAAAAAAAGAACAAAGAATATTTCTATGACAACATCATTTACATATAAATGTTAATGTCTATATAGAATCAACGAGAAAAAGAAGAATATTTCGTAGTGAACAACGTAGAAACCGAGAAAGAAAAAAACATTTTGTAATATTCTAGATTTCAACGATGCCTCAAGAGAACGGACATCGGTCTGCTCGCTCATCACGTTTACATAATAATGTAAATCAAAATGATAATGGAACTGATAAAGCTACTCCCAATCGAGAAGTAAGAGAACGTGGATATTATTCTGAATTAGCAACAATTAATCCGGATTCAAAATTTGAAGTAAAATTATATGAATTTTTAAAATAAAATTTTTACGCAGAAAATTTAGGTTGCTAGACAAGTACCTATTGCACATGATGATGTTCTACGTGAAACATTTCGTTTATCAAATACAGCTCGAGGTACGTTTCTCGTTTCGTGAATTTAAAATTAAATAATCTAGCAAAATTTTATTTGTTTTTTTTCTAATTCAAATTTTAGCAAGTGTCTTCGATTTACAAGGAATCGATGTTGCACAATTATTAGCTAATAGTAGACAAGGAGAATTTACTACAGAATTCAAACGAAGTGATGTATATTTGGAAAAAACAATTGAACCAAAAGTATTTATGCCATTTTATACGGCACCATATACATTACCAAGAAAAGTTGAAATTGAAAGGTATATTTAAATTAAATATATGTCTCATTCATCTATTTTTTTCTGTTGTTTTGAATTTTTATAGACGAAAACGTCTTTTTCTTTCACTTGATTTACCAACCTTACTTGAAGAACGACATATTGATACAAATAAACTTATGCCTAAATATGTACCAGCTGATCAAATTGTTACATTAAATATTCCAAACGAAGTAATATATTATTTTTTTTTTCTTTGCAATCTATAAATTAAATTGAATTTCGATGTATATAGGATCCAGCACCATTTGATTCATTTTTACCATTACATTATTTTGATGATACTGATTTTGAAATTTGGACATCAGAAGCTTGGCTTGCTTTAGGTCATGATCCATTGACTGGTTTAAATAAACCATTACCTGGTATTGCACTTTTACCTAATGTACCAGCATCTGAAATTTGTATGTAATGATCATTTTCTTGAATGTATTATTATACATTTTTTTATTCAAATTTTAGATGATATAAAAGATAGTAATTTACATTTTAATTGGAGAAATGTGAGTATTCATGATTATGACACTGAAAAACAATTATGGCTTGTCACAACTGATGATAGAGAACATAATGTATTTGATATGTACCGACCAAGCAAACGAAGTCGTAAACAGATGGAAGCTATTGAAGGAAAACGACAAACACCAGAAAACGCAGCCTCAAATGGTTAGTTTCGAAAAAAAAGATCTAGATAAATGAATTTTTTATCTAGTTTTTTCTTTTATGGAAGTTAATAGCCTATCCGAATGATTAATCAGAGTGACATGATATGCAGTGAAATTTTTTAAATTCGATAGATGATTTATTTTTGTTAGACGACAAGAAATCTGAGTAAATGGGCAATTTCATTCGTTTGCGATGTGATTTTGATTAATTTTCATGTAACATATATGTGTTGAGTTTATTCTAGATATCTTGAAAAACTCAGTCCTATAGACTTTGGTTCAAGCAAGTTATTATTGAAAAACTAACGTTAACAACGTGACACGATAAAAAAAAGGAACAAAGGTTTTCGCTGCGTAATTTTTTCATCCACTGATAATGCGAATTCAATAGTACTTTTGAAAAATAAATAATGTATTTTGTAGTGAACTCTTTACGGTACAAAACATCTAAGCAAACTTTTAGCTGAGCATACTTATGTGCTTCAAAAAATTAAGTTTATTTGTTGTTAGTGACATAAGTGAATACAAATAGAGAAACAAAAAAAAATCCTATTCTAACTGAATGAGAAGTTCACAAAAAGATGTTCTAAACGTTACAAAGGCAGATCTTCGGAAAATCTGTATTTATGGCTAGGACAAGTTTTGATATTCCGATCTTGCTGAAAATTTCACCATAGACTCAGTCTATGACAGAGAGTCTATTCGCAAATTCTTGAACTTTTCTGTCATAAGGTCAGCATATTATTCGCTAATAATGTTTTGATTAAGTTTAATTAGATGTAAACTACAAAAGATAATATTTTTACATAGATTTATAGAAAAAGAACTTATTCAAAAACTAACTCTTATAAACAATAAAAGTCAAATCGAAGATGATCATGTCCTGTTTTTGCAAATTTTGAATACAAACTTACTAAACAAAGAGTTTTTTGTCTCCAAACTTTTTTTTTGTTGCATTTCTATAGGTCACAGTAGTCATCATTCAAGCCGTAGTCATGGTCGTTATTGGGTACCACGTGTTCAATTATGCTTTCTTGCTGAAGATCCACGTATATTTGCTGATCGTGTTGCTAAAGCATATCGTGATCGAAAACGTACGGAAGCTGAACTTCGTTCGGCATTATTTATTGATTGTATGCCAATTGATGGTATTGGTAAACTTGATGATGAACGTATAAAACGAATGATTGAATTAACAAAAACAAGTGCTATATCAAAAACAGTGTATGTAATTTATTGTGTTCTAATCTATGCAATTTAAAATTGTTGTACTATGATTTTTGTTTTTTTAAAGTAAAGATGAATATGTGACACCAATAGTTGAAGAAGTAAATCTTGATTATGCTCGTACAATGAATTCAATGATATTTGAAGAAGTTACACAATCAGATCCAATATCATTTGCATTTATTACATTACCAATAAAACAACGTCGAGGTGTACCACGTACTGCTTGTGTTGACATACCTGAATATTCATTTAATGAAGTTTTTGATCAATTTAAAGTTTGTTAAATTATTTATTTTATTTTATTTTATTTGTTTTGTTTTGTTTTAGTTTATTTCATTATTAACATCAAAACCAGCTATTGATGCTTTAAAACTTGTTCGAACTGAATGTGATTATGTTATTAATAATCTAAGTTTATTACAAAAAACTATTCCAAAACATGTTAAACTTGATGAATTCGAAAGCATGCAATTTAATC